TTGATCTTTACATAGGCATGCAGTGTAGTCGAAGACCAAAAGCTATAGTTCAAATTAAGGCCTATCTGCAGTGAGTGATTGTAGATGCAATGAACATTAGTTATAAAATTTAACAAAGTTTGGGCATGTAAGTCATTTGTAAACAGTTTACCTATTGGGCACCTAGTGCACGGCAGGCACTGGTCTAGTTAACAACCACGAGAAAACCAACTCCTTATCCTCACAGGGAAACATCATGGGGACAGGCAGGGTGGGAGGTACACTATAAGATGGCTGGGAAGGAGGACCAAGATGGTGTCCATTGAGGAGACACCTTAGGAAAGCTGAATATTCTGGAAAAGAACTTTCAGAATCCCCTAATTAGGGGATGAATGTTCTGACATACTCAAACTACCCAAGGGCACTGGCTTAGAACTTAACAAAGGGGAGGAGGTCAGGTGGGGGAGGCAGAGACCAAGTTTTATGTGGCTCTGTAGCCACTGTAAGAACTTTTAGAGAAGAAACCATTTGAAGATTTAGAGCAGAAAAAGAACATGGTCTAATGTTTTAAAATAAAATGGAATACACTATCAAAACAAAAGATCTTTAAATATAGATGACCAAGTTCAGGTAGTAACTGGGCACAGCTCTTTTTCTGTTATAAACCTAAGGGCTTAAAAATCTGGAAACAAGTATATCCCTAAAGAAAAGGTATAAGGTAACTTACCGCAATTTGTCTTTTATCTGTTTCTCCTCTTTTATGATGAAGATCTGAATAAGTTAAGAAAAATAAATCTAGGGCACTGGGGATATTGCTCAGTGGCACAGTGCCTACCTGACAAGCACTAGATCATGAATTCAATTCCCGTACCAAAAAAAGGAATAAATCTGATCTCAGGATGGTTTTTCAGTTTTGATTTGGAAAACACATAGTATGCAGGAATTCAGTTTGTAGAAATGAACTGCTACAAGAATACAAATATGGACAGAAGGATACAGGTCAGGTATTCCAAGATGGTGACATCCCAAATGTAGTCATAGTAGGAGTCCATAGCATCATGGCTGATAAGAGAATACAGTTAATTACTTTCTTAAGTAGAAAGCCTCCAGTTATTTAAAAGACCGTTCATACCTGTTTTGTTCCTGCAGTGACTTAAATGCTGTTTTGTAGTCGACTTCTCTGAGGAACTGGCATAAAATTGCCACCTATATAAAGATTTGAAAATGAAAATGGTTTCATATAACAATGACTCGCTAGGTGTTGGAAGTTAATCTTTTTTTTCTTGTTCTGAGAAAAGGGTCTTGCTATGTAGTCCAGGCTGTCCTTGAACTCACTATGTGGCCCAGGCTGGCCTCAAACTTGTGGGGATCCTCCTGCCTCAGCCTCTTAAGTGCTGAGATTACAGGTGTGTTCCCCCATGCCAGGGAACTTTTAATTATTCTCATATAAAGAGTATTTCTAAGAAGCCTTGCAGGCCACACCAAATGGATATATATGTGAATTCCATCCAACTTTAATTTCAAACACTTTTATCCACGTGGCTGACCAGTATTTTCTTCATCTGTAACAAACTACAAATTTTTAAAGCTTTATCTGAGAAGTTGGCAAATAGCTAGTTCAAAATACTGAAGGGGATAGAAAATTGCCAAGTTCAAGTGTCAGGACA